TGAACATGGCCCAGGCTTGATGTGGCCATCGATACAGGCAACTGCCACTCTCCAGCGTGCCAAGGGCTATGGCAGCTGTGCCACCTACGGTACAATCGCCTATCGGAGAGCCAGAGGCAAGGGCACCAGCAACTGCAGCGATGCAGCTGGTGGCAGTACATGTTTGTAGGATGACTGTATAGCCAACGAAGTTCAATTACCGTAAGTCGGCACACACACACGCACACACACACACACACTACAACAGCAATTCCTCAATATGTTTGTCATAATGAGCTTGACTTTGTTTACGACATCTTGTTTGTTTCGGCACAATGAAATCCTAACTGCATTCCCATCGACGTGATTTTCTATTTTTTGGACCTTGAACGGTTGAACTTGTGGCTGCAGTGGCAGGACGACGAGATGAAACCCATTGACCCAAAGGCAGAGGAGAGACATGGATTTTGCTTTCACTTGAGCGGGTTGTGCCGGCTTTTGCAAATGTGAAGCCAGAATGGGCGTGAACAAGAAACCAATGTTTTGGGTGCCTATGCCTATGGTTTTGTTTTGATTTGACAATGTGGGAAGGAACGGGGAGGAAACAAGAACATATTTTGGGCTTAGCATTCTGTGAGTGAAAGTCAGTGGGCTAAAAAACACTTTATATATATAGTTGTTAGTTGTTAATCACGTCATCAAGTGCACTCACAGTATAATATGTTGTTCCGCGGCTACAGATTCCCGTTGCGTTTGGAAACAACATTTTGGTGTGTCATTGCAGGAAGCAGCGTCAACTCTGCATATGTGCGGGCAACCATTTTGTTTAACAAACACATGTTGTAACACAACATATACAAATCGAGGTGTCCTTTCAGAAGAAAACCTGTATACACGTCCAACAACTCGTATAGACCCGTTTTTTTTTAAATAGTTTTTTCCTCAACAGCACCAGGTGTTTTTTTTGCAGGTCCATATTGGTCCTCTGCAGCGGGCTTTGTGGAGCATCATCGCCGCCATAGCCTGCCATGAGAAGAACCACGTTCTCCCTCGCGGCGCGCGCTCGCGGCGCCAGGAGCAGATCTCGCCGGTGTCGGAGCTCTCCGATGAGGTTGGGGACGACCTCAATGGCACCGGGGAACCCTGGAGTGCCAACCACTGAGTCATGGCTAACACACAGATTCGATGGGACTGGGGGAGGTTGAGGAACCCAACCACCAGTACCCATGGGAGCTTGGTTGACTATGTCAAATGAACCATGGCTGTCAACCAACCTCCCATGGGGACTGGTGGTGGAGGTTGAGTTCCTCACAGCCTCGGGAGGGCAGGTGCCGTTGGCCTTGGAGACCGGCTCCGCTGCTCCGGCGTAGTGGCAACGGACCCCGAACAGGTCCTGGACATGAACGACTTGGGGAGCCAGGTCCGTGGGGACCCAACGGGACCCACCGGGTACGTGCACGACCTTTGGGGACCGGAATCAACGAGGAATCAGGTTTGCGGTCCAGAGGGACACATCGACTCGTTGACGAAGCCAGGAGCAGGAACATGTCTCCCCGGTGACAGACGATGAGTCTGGCAAGGCGCGACGATGCGTGCGTGCGTGCGTGCGTTGGGCGCAGCTTCAGGTTTGACCGGTTTGACCGGTTTGGTATGTTTGGAAGGAAAATGGTCGAGTCAATTCGGTTTCTTTTGTGGATCGACAGTCTGTCCAGGATATACATGGAGTATGTGACGAGAATAATTAGCACAGGAATCCCTTATTTGCACGGTCTATGACGAGTCTATGAGCTTGCTCCACCCTAGTCTCCGACTTGCACAGTGTGAAACCAAGGCGAATCGTTTCAACTTCGAAAAAAAATAAAAGAACAATATGAACATGTTAATTGATGTGTAAGAGTCAAGAGTCAAGAGCATTTCCTTGTTGTTTGCCACATAAGTTGGGAACTAAGTGAGTTAGCCATATCATCTCACTGCCTTGTCCCACCACAATTGGTTGAACATCTTAAGTAATTGCCAAAGCTAATATGTTGTTGGCACATGTTGGCACGTAACATGCCACACAGACCAATTTTTTTTTATGTGGAATCCACATCTTCCTTGGAACGACGGATCTGCCACCGTCGTGGAGCATCGGATCCAGGTCATCGCCAAGCCCAAGGCCGAAGGGCACAGCACAGCACCGGTCGACCGGGATCGACCGGGTTTGATTTATCAAGAGTTTGACATCAAAAGGCGAGTTCATAGAGTTACAGTCGTATAGAGCTCTGTAGAGCTCGGGATTCCTGAGTGAAGTAACAACCTAAGCTATATACGATTCTGATGATGTTCGGTCTACGCATACACAGAACTATACAGAACTTTTGGTGAGTTACCATCATATCGACTAGTGTACGGTATACCCATCTCCATCCCTAGGTGACTATTTGAAGAATTAAGAATTCTATCCTCCTTGGCATGGTTAGCGAGACAAGCCCAGATGCTTCAGAACCTTTCTTCCAATGGAGATCACCACTAGGGCCCAAGTCCATCCCCAGCTAAACCTCCAGAGTTTTCCATGTGGCAGCACATGTTAAATGGAGTTCTCAGCGCGCCCCTCCAATCACGGATACTCATGAGTCTATCATTTTTGTAACCCCTGGTTCGACAGAACACAATCGGACTCTGCACAATCCACTTGATGCGAAACCACGAACATCTCACCCATGACATGGATTTTTCCCAGACATCCAGTATCATCCGGACCAGACTGTTCCCAGACGAAGATCTTTGCACCTTCCGATCTCGACAGGCCATGCCACGCGCCTTCGTTGGGAGACCCCGGTGGCAGATGCCGGACCGGGCAAAACGTTTGTGCGTGTTCTTTCGTTGGTTCTTGTTGACCAGACTAATCCGGAACAACGGGAAGAACTGAAGAAGGACCAGAAGTTCACAATAAGAAGAATAACAAAAGCTATCAAAAGCTGAAGAACTGAAGAACTTATATATAATATATGTGTTTGTGCGTTCTTCTGGTGATCCTTGTAACCTGTTCTGCCTTTCTTGTGACATTCACCCACCCCACTCCACTCTTCCACTCGTTCCGCAGTTCGATTGGCCTCGAGGGCCTCGGTGGCCTCGATGACCTTCATGGCTCGATGACCTCGAGGTATCTCATGACCGAAATGGCGAAAGAGGACTCTCCGGGTTCGAAGGTACACGAACTGGTTCCGAGGTCCACATGGAACCTGAAAACCAGTGGGTTGTAGAGGAAAATCGTCTTCCAAAGGTCCTTCAGGTTCCATCTGGGCATCTTTCTGGGTGTAAGAACTGACCCTTCACAACGTGAGAACCCCTTCACAGTGGTCAGATGCCTCAGTCTCTGTATTCGGCAATGGCAGCTACAGTGGTGTCGTTCGCTACATCGTGGACTGTTCAACTCATCAGCAGTTGTGGATCAACTCATAACCCAAGTGTCACATGCATGGCTTGCTGACGAACCATGCTGAGATATTAGACAGGTTCAACCAGCTAGCTTGGCAGGCTTGACCATGCCACAATCTTGAGTGCAACATGGAGCAAAACTTTCAGTCAGGTGTGTTGCTGTACGTGCTCACTTGTTGGTATGGCATGCTATGATGCTTTCCTTCGAGCTGTGGCAGGACGTGGGGATGCCGACACGGTATCATATTGTCACATGCATGGCTTGCTGAAGAACCATGCTGAGCTATTAGACAGGATCAACCAGCTGAGTTGGCAGGCTTGACCAGGCCACAGTCTTGGGTGTACTGTAACATGGAGCAAACTTTGAGTCAGGCGTGTTACTGTGCGTGCTCACTTGTTGGTATAGCGTGCTATGATGCTTTCCTTCGAGCTGTGGCAGGACGTGAGGATGCCGACACGGGATGATATTTGTCACATGCATGGCTTGCTGAAGAACCATGCTGAGATGTTAGACAGGATCAACCAGCTGACTTGGCAGGCTTGACCATGCCACAGTTTTGGGTGCAACATGGAGCAACACTTTCAGTCAAGTGTGCTGCTGTGCGTGCTCACTTGTTGGTATGGCATGCTATGATGCTTTCCTTCGAGCTGTTGCAGGACGTGGGGATGCCGACACGGGATGATATTTGTCACATGCATGGCTTGCTGAAGAACCATGCTGAAATATTAGACAGGATCAACCAGCTGACTTGGCAGGCTTGACCAGGCCACAGTCTTGTGTGCAACACGGAGCAAAACTTTGAGTCAGGCGTGTTGCTGTGCATGCTCACTTGTTGGTATGGCATGCTATGATGCTTTCCTTCGAGCTGTTGCAGGACGTGGGGATGCCGACACGGGATAAAATTTGTCACACGTATGGCTTGCTGACAAACCATGCTGAGATATTAGGCAGGATCAACCAGCTGACTTGGCAGGCTTGACCAGGCCACAGTCTTGTGTGTAACATGGAGCAACACTTTCAGTCAGGTGTGCTGCTGTGCGTGCTCACTTGGTACGGCATGCTAGGATGCTTTCCTTCGAGCTGTTGCAGGACGTGGGGATGCCGACACGGGATGATATTTGTCACATGCATGGCTTGCTGAAGAACCATGCTGAGATGTTAGACAGGATCAACCAGCTAACTTGGCAGGCTTGACCATGCCACAGTCTTGGGTGCAACATGGAGCAACACTTTCAGTCAAGTGTGCTGCTGTACGTGCTCACTTGTTGGTATGGCATGCTATGATGCTTTCCTTTTAGGCTGTTGCAGGACGATGGGATGCCGACACGGGATGATATTTGTCACATGCATGGCTTGCTGAAGAACCATGCTGAGATATTTGACAGGATCAACCAGCTGGCGTGGCAGGCTTGACCATGCCACAGACTTGGGTGCAACATGGAGCAACACTTTCAGTGAGGTGTATTGCTGTGGTTGCTCACTTGTTGGTATGGCATGCTATTATGCTTTCCTTCGTGCTGTTGCAGGACGTGGGGATGCCGACACGGGATGATATTTGTCACATGCATGGCTTGCTGAAGAGCGATGCTGAGATATTTGACAGGATCAACCAGCTGACTTGGCAGGCTTGACCAGGCCACAGTCTTGTGTGCAACACGGAGCAAAACTTTCAGTCAGGCGTGTTGCTGTGCGTGCTCACTTGTTGGTATGGCATGCTATGATGCTTTCCTTTGAGCTGTTGCAGGACGTGGGGATGCCGACACGGGATGATATTTGTCACATGCATGGCTTGCTGAAGAACCATGCTGAGACATTTGACAGGATCAACCATCTGACTTGGCAGGCTTGACCAGGCCTCAGTCTTGTGTGTAACACGGAGCAAAACTTTCAGTCAGGCGTGTTGCTGTGCGTGCTCACTTGTTGGTATGGCATGCTATGATGCTTTCCTTCGAGCTGTTGCAGGACGTGGGGATGCCGACACGGGATGATATTTGTCACATGCATGGCTTGCTGAAGAACCATGCTGAGATATTTGACAGGATCAACCATCTGACTTGGCAGGCTTGACAGGCCACAGTCTTGTGTGTAACACGGAGCAAAACTTTCAGTCAGTCGTGTTGCTGTGCGTGCTTACTTGTTGGTATGGCATGTTATGATGCTTTCCTTCGAGCTGTTGCAGGACGTGGGGATGCCGACACGGGATGATATTTGTCACATGCATGGCTTGCTGAAGAACCATGCTGAGATATTTGACAGGATCAACCAGCTGAGTTGGCAGGCTTGACCAGGCCACAGTCTTGTGTGTAACACGGAGCAAAACTTTTAGTCAGGCGTGTTGCTGTGCGTGCTTACTTTTTGGTATGGCATGCTATGATGCTTTCCTTCGAGCTGTTGCAGGACGTGGGGATGCCGACACGGGACCCGGGATGATATTTGTCACATGCATGGCTTGCTGAAGAACCATGCTGAGATATTTGACAGGATCAACCATCTGACTTGGCAGGCTTGACCAGGCCACAGTCTTG